AACTTGCTTATTTCTCTTAATACTGAAAAACAAATTTAACATACTCTGTAAATATTTACCTTTATTTCCCCCCAGCCAAATAGGCCTGGCTCATTTTTGACTATTCTTTACGTTAAATCCGGTGTTTTCCAGAGTTGCTTCAAGAAGGAGCAGCCTGGGAAGCTAGTTCTGAGTCAGGCTGCCTCTGCTGCCTTTGTTTCCCAGGGTACTCAACACGAGCTTGGAAAATATTGGTGGATCTAATAAACGTCATTATTTTTTCTTTACGCTCTCATAAAATACGGAGCATTAATTGGATGGTTTGTGTTTGTCTGCACCTGGAGGCTGCACTGTCTCTCCAGAGGGCTTTCTTTGCGCCTTGCCTATTTCCCCTTTCCCCCCTGGTAGTGTCACTTATTCATTAGAACTGTATATAATTTTTGAAACTTTGTATGGTTTCTTGTTATCGTTGATGGTGGTGGTGGTTCTCTGTAATTCAGATTCTTACATTGTTGCCCTTTTGTGGATCCTGCTATCTGGAAGCTTCCTGTCTTCTCTTCCCAGCATTTGACAAATAGATTATTTTAAGTATAATGAAAAATTAGAGTGAATCAATTGCTTTGTACTCAGCTACACAGAGCTCTTTAGCTTTCAGCTCAGTTTGTTTCAACACTTGTATGCAAAGAGAAATTAAAATAGATTCAGTCTAAGAGGTTTGTCTTAATGGTGTATTTTGTATGGAACCCTAATCCTGTGCCCCTTCTCACTAAGTGAATTTCTACAAAAGTTTAAATAAAATAAACTTTTTTTAAAAAAGATTTCATTATTTATTCAGAGGGAGACAGCAAGAAAGGGAACACAAGCAGGGGGAGTGGCAGAGGGAGAAGCAGGCTCCCAGCTGAGCAGGGAGTCCAATACAGGCCTTGATCCCAGGACCCCGGATTGCTTAATGACGGAGCCACCCATGCACCTCTAAAATAAAACAAACTTTAAAGTACCCATCCTTGCAGACTTATGTGCTAGTAATAAAAAGTGAATGACACAAGTACAATGCCCCAAATACTACTAAGTAGAACTTAGCAGGAAATATAAAGAAGAGACTAAAATGGGGAGGTAACCCACAGCCTAGGGCCAAAGATGCCCCCCACCCCCCATTTTGTACGATCTGGGGGTAAAAATTGGCTGTTATAATTTTAAGCTGTTAAAATCAAAAGAAGAATGATATTTTGTGACATGTAAACTAGTAGGAAATTCTCATTTCCATGTCCACACATAAAGTTTTATTAGGACATAGCCGCTCATACACTTAGGTATTGTCTCTGGCTCCTTTTGTACTATGACAGCAGAGTAAAATCTGGCCTATGAACTGGAAATATTTACTATGGGGCTTTTGATAGAAAATAGTTAGCTGACCCCCGGACTGAGCAGTAGATTATACTTGTGGTAGCTTACGTTCCGCCTTGTAAAAACTGTAAAAAATTTCATCTTGTTTTTCCTGATAACAGATCTATTTCTCCATAACATTTGATGAGATAATGACCCTGGAGAGCAAATTCTGTCTATTCAAGTTCATTTACCCAAGGAAGAGTCGGGGTTGGGGAGAGCTGTAAGTGAAAGCACATTTGCAAATGTTGATTCCTTTGTTTTATTCTGGGAACGAAGAAATTTAAGAAGACTTTTGTTTTGTTTTCCTGCTACGTTTGACTCTCATCATCCATACACCCTACATGCTTACACACCAAACCTTCCAGCCCGCAGAGAGCGTGTTATAAGATTTGAGGTCTCTGCTTTATGTTCACCAGAAATCACAGAACTAAGATCTTAGTTGACCACCCTTCCTTTAATCCCTCCTTATTCCTGGAATAACTGGGCAGATCCAGTAACTACCTTCCAGTTTCAAGCAAAAGGTCACTCGGGCCAATCTGGGGGGGACCTGAGCTTTCATAGAAGAAAGGAGAGGAGCGTTTTCAAAATGTAAACACAGGATATTGTTAAACAGCACCTGCTGGTTTGTTGCTATTCTTTTCTGATATCTGCTGTTAGTTTATATGTTACTTTTCCGACTAGTGTCTATGTTACGAAGTATCCCTTCAGGGGCCAGACGTCCCCCTCCTTGTCCCCCAGCACCTGTCCCAGTGGCCCTTTTGTCTCGGGCCATCCTGCATGTCTGTTTCTGCTTTTCTCCCATTGACCATGTTTCCAACCCTCCGTCCTTAGGATAAGAACCTCCTTGAAGCCCAGTGACAGGAGACCATATCCCATGGGTCTGTGTGGGTCTGTGTGGCAAGTAAACGAAAGTGAGAGGCCATGTGGAGAAGTGGGAGCCACCAGGGAGAAATGGGAGCCACCATAGTGGCCTGAGTGACACCAGTGAGCCTTGCTCACTCTCTGGTCTGTCTGCAGAAGAACCTATTCCTTGCTTCTGTGCATTTCTTTAGAACTGTTTCCTTGGGGCACCTGGGTGGCTCGGTTGAGTGTCTGCCTTTGACTTGGATCATGATCCCTGGATCCTGGGATCGAGCCCCGCATCAGGGCTCCCTGCTCAGTGGGAAGCCTGCTTCCCTTTCCTTCTGGTCCCCCCATTTGTGCTCTCTCTTTCTCTGTCAAAAAGGTAAATAAAATCTTAAAAAAGAACTCTTTTCTCTTGTGTTCTCATGGGGGGGGACCAAAATGGGGGGGCATTCGTGATGTCCCAGGTACAGTGGTGCCTCATCATGGTTATAGTTCTTGACATACGTCAGTGTGTGTCCCCATTTTGCAAGTGAGCGAACAGGGCCCAGGCCTGGTTGTAACCTCCCCATGGTCACGAGCAGCGTGGGGAACATTGGGTCTGAGGCCAGGGACAGTCATCTTATAGCATCCATCAAGGTCCACGGCACACACGACGCCTTCAGGCTGGGTCTTATTGCCCTATGCTCCTGAGAGGAGCTGATTTCACTTAGACTCAAGGGGGCTGTTAGGGCCAGGCCCATCCTTATTACTCAGGGAATGTTGCCCGGAGAAGCAGGACTCAGTGTGAAGAGAAGTTACAAAGATGAGGTTCTCAGGGGATGTACTTCAACTTCTCTGTTCAGCACAGAGGTCAGCAGGGCAGAGGTCATGGGTGAAGGGTGGCTCAACCGGCTGAACACATTTATTCCCCAACAGTGATTGGAGCCTCCGAGAATATGAATAAGAACTTGATCAGAGTGGGTGGGATGATTTGAATCCCCATGTAAAGGTGTTCACATTATTAATTAGAAATTCTCTAAATCTCTTCAAATTAGCAGGATCGCTTTTTTGTTGTTTTTCACGAGCTGTGCCATGCCGTGTCTTTAGTACAGTGTGTAGAGTTTTAAGGGTTGGTTTATTAAACTTGCTGTGATGCTAAGCTTCTAAGACTCATTCTGTCATTGTAGTATCCTGTTCTTATAGTTCAGATAACTTCTGTTTGCTGATTTAATTCTGAACTGTGTGAGGTGCCTTCAGGATGGCTGGCTGTTGTCTTTTAAATAAGGGCTGTCCTCGTGTAAGCCCTGTCAGGTGACCTTCCTGTGTGAAGTTGCTCCTTAGGTTACCACATGTGCTGGTACAACCCACATTCGGCTCCTCTCCCCCTGCTTCCAGCCCCAAACATGGTCATTGTATTAAAGCCACACTGGGCTCCACCATGAATTAGGAGGTGGGTATTTTCCTCCATTTCTTTACCTCCTCAGAGGCTCTTCATGCCTTCTCTATGCATTTATTTATTTATTTATTTATTTATTTATTTATTTATTTTTAAAAGATTTTATTTATTTATTTGTCAGAGAGAGAGAGAGAGAGCGCGCATACATAAGCAGGCAGAGGCAGAGAGAGAAGCAGGCTCCCTGCCGAGCAAGGAGCCCGATGCAGGACTCAATCCCAGGACCCTGGGATCATGACCTGAGCTGAAGGCAGTGGCTTAACCAACTGAGCCACCCAGGCATCCCTTTCTCTGTGTATTTAATGTCTGTCCTTTCAGGAATCCCTGCCAGATGCTACTTCCTCCATGATGTCCTTGCTGATTTCCTCCTTCTCTAACCCCTAGAGCTTGTCAGGGACCTCATCACACAGTGTCTTATATTAGAGTAGGTCATAAACATCAGTTCCTTCACCTTGATTAGAAACTCTGAGACTGGAGATCATGGTGGTTTACATCTCTTAAGTAATAATTACTAGAAGTGCCTTTGAAGGATTGAGTTGGTTGTTTCTGAAGGAGCAGACCTCTGAAAAATGAAACATACTTAGCATTCCAAGTGCACTCGCCTGAAATTGATAAAAGACTTATTTATTTGAGAGAGAGAGAGCAGGCACATGCATTGGGTGGGTGGGGGGGGGGCAAAAAGAGGAGGAGAGAGAATCTCAAGCAGACTCCCTGCTGAGTGCTGAGCCTGACGTGGGGCTCAATTTTATGATCCTGAGATCATGACCTGAGCCGAGATCAAGAGTTGGAAGCTTAACCCACCAAGCCACCCAGACCGCCCCTGAAAATAAAAATATTAAATAAGTTGCAAACTCTGCTCAATCCCAGAGGGGACAGTGGTAACCCGAAAGCTGGGGTGTGATCCCCCGGCCTTGGCAAGACCCTGTATCTCCTTGAGCCTCAGTTTCCACGGAGATCAATAAATTTTAAAAGATGAAAACAACTTCCCTGCCTTCGTTAAAGTTTTTATGAGGATGAAATGAGACGTCACCTTTGAAAATGTGTTGGAGATCACAAAACTGCCTCAACTATAAAATCATGTGGTCTTATTTAAGAAAACTTCATTGGAGGTAGACAACAGCTGTGCTGTGTAAGTATGGTGTACCCGTATCATTGAGCTCCTGATGTAAAGTTGCATTCATGCCTGACCGTGCTTCCTGAGTAGTTTTAAGATCATTTGATTTTTACGCCATACTCTGTAACCAAAGCCTGGGAGGTTTTGGAATAGAATCTTTTGGTTCTGGCAAAGAGAACCAGTTTATCTTTGCCCTAATTCTTGCATACCCCCAATGCTTTGTCTTTATTTTTTCCTTCACAGGTTTCCATCTGTATCACAAGTTGCCCACGATAGTGCCTGAGAGCTGCCTCCTTATAATGGTTGGCCTGCTGCTAGGAGGGATTATTTTTGGGGTTGATGAAAAGTCCCCCCCTGCAATGAAGACTGATGTGTTTTTCTTGTATCTGCTCCCCCCCATCGTGCTCGACGCGGGCTATTTCATGCCCACTCGCCCCTTCTTTGAGAACATTGGCACCATTTTCTGGTATGCTGTGGTAGGGACCCTCTGGAATTCCATTGGCATTGGGGTGTCTTTGTATGGTATCTGCCAAATTGAAGCCTTTGGCCTGAGTGACATCACTCTGCTCCAGAATCTACTTTTTGGCAGCTTGATCTCAGCCGTGGACCCAGTGGCTGTGCTCGCCGTCTTCGAGAACATTCATGTCAATGAGCAGCTCTACATCCTGGTCTTTGGAGAGTCTCTGCTGAATGATGCAGTGACAGTGGTGAGTAACAGGTTCATGCTGTGTCCTCCCAACACCACCAGCCACCCCAGGTCTGCATCAGCTTTCTGACAGTGACAGCAGAGGGGAGAACCACAGGCACCAACCACGCTTGCACAGTCACGCAGCCCTGCACTTAGATGGGCCCCTCACTTGGTTTAAGGCTCTGTCACTGCTGTCTTGAAGTGCTTTGTAAAATGTTTTTTATTGATTATTTTTGATTGATTATTATACAACAGGCCCCTCACTTTCGTGTTGCACGGGATTGCACAGACTGTGTAGCTGGTCCCTGCTTACAAGGTCCTGCTGGTATCAGAGGATCAAGAAAGTGAGGGTGACCTTTCCTATCTGAGGATTTCTCAGTTGGCATTTTGAAAATGACGGTCTTTGATCAGAATTCAAGGACTTCGGGTCCTTCAGAGTTCTTGGTGAGATGTGATGCTGTCGAGAGTGAACATGCAGAATGGAAGCGAAATGACAATGCCCGCCACGTGCCATTCTGGGTCCGGGGATGGTTTATTAATTCCTTTATGATTTCAGGCCAGTTTTTCATTACACTCTCACTTTCTGTCACTGCTCAGCCAGCTTATTTCTGATCCCCACCGCTTTCCTGTGAGTGGATATTTATTCAGAAAATGCTAATTTATTTTTAATTCTCACTAATTAACACATAATTAGAGTCAGAGGCTGTTGTGATCTTCATGTGAGCAGAATTTAGCTCCGGCCCACTTTCTGAGCTCAGGCAAAGTGTAGGGAAGTGGTAAGGAAGCCTCCCACCCCCACACAAGCCTACAAAATGGTCCTCTCCCAGTGAAAGACACTCCGGTGACCCCATATAGCTAAACCCATGAGGGGGCCCCAGTGATGCTGTTTTATTGTGTTAGCCGCCATTAACCTCTTGTGAGGGCCTCCTGTGTGTTTGGGTCTTTGTGACCACCTACGTGGTCATTATTTTCCCCATTTGGTAGGTAAGAATGTTGAGGCAGAGAAAAATTAAGTAACTTACCTAACTTATATTACTTCGTTTGTTCTTCCCATTAAAATATGATTCCTGATTCATTTAAACGTCAGCGTAGAAACCAACATCACTCCCTATTAGCTTATAAACAAAATAAAATATCATTTTGAAGGTTGTCCCTTAGCTCCATGTGGACGTTATTATGTAGAAAGTAATTTATTGATAAGGAAATCCCATTTTTTAGAATAGCTGCTAAGATAGCTGTTTTGAGGCAGCTAAGGTCCCTCACTCAAGTTAACAAAATACACTTCATTTATTCCATTATTCACTAACAGTGATTAGTCATTAACTTACCAATATTAAATTTTAACTGGGAAAGTACCACAGCAATGAAGACATTTTATAATTTATCCTAATTTCCAGAGGCTTCAACATTTTATTGTGACTTTGTTTGCTATATACATGTTACCCTCATTGAGGTAGATCGAGGACATTTTCATGAGGTTTTCTTGGATTTCCTTCATGTTCAGGAAACTTTATAAAGAAATAATAACACCCTGGCGCACTTCTCCTAGGGCCGTCCAACCAAGCCCGCTCAGTTTTAGAGTGACACGCCCTGCCTTTACGCTGCTTGCTCTTCTCTTAAAGAATTTCTCATTCAGATACCTCAGTGTCCATTCTTTGAGTTCGTCGAGACTCAGATCTGAGCCAACAGTCTGGCTAGACCCCTGTTCAAACTGCGTGAAGGCCCCAGGCTTTCCAGGGTCACATCTGGTGCTTCCTGTCAAGAGGCCCCAAGCCGTCAAGTGTGATTTTATGGACAGACAGGGAGGCCTGACCCAGAGAAGGCAGTGGGCCGGATTGAGGGTGCCATGCAGGAAGGAAGACAAGGACAGAGAAAGGGCTTGGCTGCTCTTTAGATGTGCAATCCCTTGTTATAAGGCCAAAGCCTATAAATCAATGACTAAGGTTTCCCGTGAATGAGCCTTCCTGGAGTTAGATACCCTGGGCTCAGAGCCTGTGGACACTTAAAGCCACACCCATAAGATAGCAAGGCAAGCCCAGGGGTTTTGCCTTCCTAACACTGAAGAAAAGGCCACCAGGTATGATATTCCTTGAATTGGCTCAATAGTGGGCTGAACGGATCAGGTGTTAGGAATAATTAGAATGACATTGTAAAAAGTGATCATTTTGCCTCCCTTGTCAGGTACCCTCAGAGTACAGAGGTGGAGATGCTTTATGGATGATTCTTTGATGTCTAGTCTTATCTGTGGGAGAGATTTAAGGAACCCAAGGATTAAGGAACTCATCATGAAAAGTATGGACCCTGCTGCTCACAGTGAAAATGATGAGTTACTAGGAGTCACAACTAGAAGGGTGAAGATTAAACAGAAAAGATTCGTGTTAAAAAACGTAGTCTAGAGGATGAGTAAAATTATAGGTCTGTGCAATAAATTCTGTCCCCAAATCATGGTAGATTCAGTATGTAGCTAGCAGAGTTAAGGGGAGAAAACCTACCATGAAAATGTCTCTGTGCAAAGAGAAATTGACATTATATAAATGGTGGTCCGACAGTGCCATTATCCAAGGTTACAGTAGATTGGAATCGATTGGAGAAATGACAGCTGAAGGAACAAAGGTCAGATTTTTAAATGGGATTTTTGTGCTTTCCCTTAGCTTAAATATTAGGCAAAGATCGCTCAGGTTCTCACTTATGAGATCAGCGCTGCCCTCTGCAGTAGTCCAGAATCAAATGACTTGTGTTCATATGGTAATTTCCGACATCATTTCTAGAACATGTTAATAATGCAAACATTGAATAATCAAATGCATTTTTCAAGAACACTTAAAGAATTTCTTCAATAGGCTTGGTTACGGAGAGCTGGTTCTTTGGAACCAGGCTAGGGGTGGGGTTTATGGCCCAGGCATTATGTGCTATGCACTGGAATTTAACTTCAGGAAGCTGGAAGGTAAACAGTAACCACTTGGTACTCATTTTTGCTCTTGCAAATTGCAGAATATATTTTAAATTCCTTAGGCAAAAATGTTTCTTGTATTTCATATTTTAAAAAAAGGGTGACCTGAAAACTATTTTTTTCTGGAACAGAGCTTTTCTGATAAAAAACCGGTATTCTTTGCATCATTGTGTTACACAATTTCACTGAGTTCTTGCACCTTTTAAATCAAAGGTCCAAATAGAGAATTTCTAATTCTTACAATACTCTAGTATTTTAGGATCTCATACTCTACCACTTGAGCTATCTGAGTGGTTAATATAAGTATTTTAAAAATCACAATAACGAGTAGAATAACCTGAAAGTGCTTTCCCTTTCCCCTTCCCTCAACTGTTACATTAGCCCACCACAAAACACAGGCAGTGCTGGTATTTCAGTCTTCCAAAAATGCAGTTGTCAAGTTGAGGAAAACTTTGCACAGACCAACTAGAGACATAATTGTAGCCAACATGCCTAGTACACGTGCATATGCATATACATATGTAAATTCTAACTCCAGAAGCACTTTCCTACATAGATACCCTTGCAATACAGTTAAAGTATTTAAGAGGAATGAGTTAACTATGGGTTATAGCCAGTGGTAACTGAAAGAATTTTATCTTGATCACTGGGTATCAGGTTCAGTGTAAAGCAGGTGGGAAGGTATGGAAAGCCTTCTGGTTGTCAAGGCAACGTCTCTACCTAAGACATTGCCCCGTAACATTGCCCTGGCTTCCGAGGCAGTAGAATGATTGAACTGGAGCTCCTGCCCCGTATGCTGAAGGTACAGCGCCTGTGACTCAGCTCTGTTCTGTGCAAAACCTGAAGAGCTGTTGAAACTGGCATGTCCCTTTGATCAATTTGATGGACTGAGTTGCCAGAAGATGCCTCTGGAAAAACTATGACAGCATGACAGTGGGAACGTAGGGACCCAGGCCTGATCCACCTTTGGAGTACTCAAAAATGTTCTTGGTGGGGTGGGGAGGGAGGGAGGAGGAGGAGATCTGGGTCCTGTGGACGAGGACTCTCTAATTTTGCTGGGGTAGATCCCCAAGAGGCAGTGCCCACTGTGGAAGATGGCCTGTCCCCGAAGCCTGACTGGATTAGGAGATCATTTTTGTTGCAGGAGGGCAGAGGTGAAGGTGATCTGTGGGGGCTGTAGGAGTTCAGGAAGGCTCTTGAGAGGAACGGTGGCTTCAGCTGGGCCCTGGAAGATGAATAGAGTTTCCCAGGGCATAGGGGCTGTGTTCCTGCCAAGAGAAACCGCGAGAGGGAAATCAGGGGCAGTGGTGAGTGATGGTATTAGGTTTTGTGGAGCCGAGATAAGACCCTCTCCCAGACTGAAGGGTATTGGAAAGCAGTAAAAATAAAACAAACAAAACAAAACAAAAACTCAAAACAACAACACCACCAATCCACCAGGTGTATTAAGCTTTCCCAAAGTCAAGGATTTTAAACTTGAGAGTGACAAATGGAATGGCAGTATTTAAGGGAAGTGAATCTTGTGTTGGCTGGAGGGGGCAATCGAGCAATGGTGAGCTGAGATTTGCTGGTGTGGGCGGGAGTCAGGGAGGGCAGAAGCCTGGGAGTCCGGGGACAGAACTGCAGTGACCAAGTGGCCTGGGGGGAGGGAGGCTGTCTATGCAGAGACGGCTGGTGAGGAAGCCTGCCTCTCTCTTCTGGCAGCAGGTCCCTCTTCGTCCTTGGCTGTTTGGAGACAAGGGGTATATATAGCCCATCTCTGATCCCGTCTCCGGAAATGACCACAGTGTGTTGATGTGGATGGAATCCCGCCGGCAGCCCGCCTCTGGTTGGAAGTGGGAAGAGGCTGCTATTTGAAGTCCCTTTCTTTTCTGGCAAATGATCCTCTCGACGTTTTTAAATCCTCAGGGGAAGGAGTTGCTCTTTTTGTTCCTTCTTACTCAAGTCATTTCCTGGTGCTACAATACCAACTGCTTTTGAATATCATACTGATGATGATGAGAAAAGAAAAGCTCATTCATTTCTAAGTCCCAGTCCACCACTTTCTTCAACGGCAGCGATCTGTGCTGTCATCTCCCAGGCAGCATGGAAAAAGCCAGTCATTATAAGGAGTGACCATTGACCACGAGGAGTTTATGATCCAGCAGAAAAGAGGGGGAAGATGACATAAAACCTGCCAATGTGGTGGGCTCTGATGGACCTTCAGGGAGGCAAAGAGCAGAACCGACTTTGCCAAATCCCACTCTGGCTAGCAGGCTCAGAACCTGACTTGTTCTCCCATGCGTAAACCTTGAAAAATGTACCTGGAACGTCAGGAGACCAGGATTCTTCTATCGCATCTGATATTTTGTGTGCTCCTGGACAAAGTGCTTCTGGAGTTAGAATTTATATATGTATATGCATATGCACGTGTACAATTTTAGTTTCTCAGAAACCAAATAAGGGCCTAGCATGGCCTGTACCGTCAGAGGCCTTCACCCCAGTGTCCTGACAGCCAACTTTCCTGGATAGTCTGGCTGTCAGTAACCCAGTGAGAAGAAGCAGGGTGCCCGCTGGAGTCCTATTTTCCTTGCTGGCTTTGCGGAAAATGTGGTAGGGCCCCAGCCATCACTTCCTGTCTCAGTTGGGTCCTTGGAAACACGTTTGCGAGTAGATTCGCAGCAGACATGAAGGGCCGAGCATTTTTGGAGCTTACAAACTAAGACTATGTAATGACTGTGTGGCTGTTTCAGAAGCCAAGCAGCTGTGTGGGCTCATTCCTTTAGAAGAGGGACACAAAATGTATGAAATTACAGTACCTATACACACAAACACACACAACACAGGGGGCTGCATCTTTGTTCAAGAAAGTTCCTTCAGGCCTCATGTTATAGCAGATGTATGTGGGTGGGGTGAGGAGAGAGGACTTTGGTGCCCTGGGAGAAAGATAGCTTTAGGTGGGCTACTTGCACTGATGGCTGGGGCCCCTTCTGTGGCACGGCCCCACCAGAAAGCCTCACAAAGTAACTGACTTCACAGCAACACTGACCGTCTTTCTCTGTGACCTGTTCCTTTCCCAGCATCGCTAACACAAGCAGGGCCTGTCGGATGACAACTGAGTCTTTCAAGATTATCTTTTAGATGGTACCTTAAAAATGATACTTTAGGAGTGAGTGGCGTTGTAATTGTGACGTCTCCTCTCCCTCACTTTCAGAACTACCTTTCCAGACAACACACATTTATCTAGCTTTCTGTTCAAAGTTATTCAATATCCTATTAAAACATGAGATGGGGCAATACAGTTTTGCCCCTGGCCATCAACTTGGGGGGCACAGAAGAAATGTCTTTGTTAGGAGGATGGGTGGATTTTTCTGTGGCCACAGTGAAAATGGGGACGTCGGAAGGAGTCTTGACCATGTGTTCTCTTTGTCCCACAGGTCCTGTACAACTTGTTCAAGTCTTTTTGCCAGATGAAAACCATTGAGACCATTGATGTGTTTGCTGGAATTGCAAACTTCTTCGTTGTGGGAATTGGTGGGGTGTTAATTGGCATCTTCCTGGGATTTATAGCGGCGTTTACTACTCGGTTCACGCATAACATCCGAGTGATTGAGCCACTCTTTGTCTTTCTGTACAGTTATTTGTCCTATATAACGGCTGAAATGTTTCACCTCTCAGGTATCATGGCGTAAGTATTCTCCTCTTCGTTAAAAACACTTAATGTCGTGACATTTCATTTAATTTACATATGCTAAGCTAGGATGCTGCGGGTTGCGTAAGTTTCATGAAAGAGGTTTCCTTAAATCCTCTTCAGAAAAATTAAAAATGGATTTTCCTACTCATTGTTTCAAAGAAATGGAGACACCCAGCCAAATTTATACTAAAGTGATCTGGTGCTAGAATGGAAAACTACTTAAGAATTACCTCTAGGGTCTTGTGGGAAATATGACCATAGTCGGTTGGGGTTGATTGTCAGGCCCCAAGAATCTTCTGGGTTTGATGCCCACTCAGGGTAGTCCCTGTAGGCAGCAGCCCTTACACTTACTCCAGCAAGGTCCTCTCACCTAAACTGCATCTGGGATTCTCGACTTGCTTAGGATATTCATTAGAATGACCTTAGTGGTAGGGAACCTTCACTTGGTATGCTAGATTTGATTTGAAATAACGGCATTAAGTCATTCAGAGCAAAATCCAATGAATAAGGCATGTCATCATGTCATTCTGACTTAGCCTTTCAAATAAAGAGGCGTGATTATAAAGCAAGAAATGTATAAAGCAAGACGTATTTTTTTATGGCTACAGTTAGCCGGTCATTCACTAACAAATTCAGAAGGACCTTTTCAAGAAGCGTGGTGGTTGGATCGGATTCTAGCCTTCCGAGGGTCACTTTGAAGGAGGTTCCTCGTGGGGTGCGGATGTTTTTGTAACAGAGCTTCCAAAAACAAGCCTATTTTATGATGGCTACACCCCGTATAGGGTTGGTGAGAAATACTTTAGTAATGGAAAGCTTTATAAGTTTTCATTTGGACAGGTATTTATTTACAGCTCGAAAGATGCTCGGTTCTACGCGAGGAGGGCCTGCGACATGTTAAGTTTTGGTGTGGTCAGCCCAGGTCTGGTTCTTGAGGTTTTCTCGTGTGGCCTGATTTAGGTGTTGCTTTGATTAAGGACTTTTTGTTTTTCTCCTCATGTCCCTGCTTTTGTATCAGAAGCAGATTAGATTTGTGGTAAGAGAGGTCAGGTGCCTCTCCCTGAGGAGAGTGGGACCCATTATAATGCAAGCCAGGAGTTAAAGGTTGTGTGGTTTTCTGTTTCACCGAGAACCTAAATAAAGCAACATATTAATCCACTTTGACCCAGTAATGAAATGTTCTGTATCTTCCTGGTTGCTATTCATATCATCTGTCTGACTTCCAGTTTCCTTACTGTGCTTTGACCAATGTCATTGAAAGTGTGTGATCAGCGAGTTACAAGGTCTCTATAGAAGGATGGGGGTGGGACTCCATGTCTGGTGTTCCAGCAATATGCTAATGGCAGTTTGTGGAAGAACCTTGAATCTATTTTGACCACATGCCTAAGGAGGAGTTCTGGAACGCCCATACAGTTGTCTCCATATGTCTGTCAGCTGGCCTGGTGTTCGGGGGCAGGAACTGTGATGGGAAGATCCAGAGTTGGGGGGGATAGTGAAAGTGTTGGAAGGGGTTGGGGCTATTAGTGCATCTTGCTTAGAAATATCCATGGAGGCCAGAGTCCACAGAGGCTGGAAGGTGGTGCTACATGGAGGCCCTGATCGCCTGTGAAGATGGGATTATGGGTTTACTTGCTCTGGGAATTAGGAAGTAAGGGACAAGTAGGACATCCTATTCCTGGTAAATAGTGCAGGTCATTCTCTGTGTGCTTTGTCAGTGGAAAAAAAACATCACCTCTGTTTTCAACTTCAAAGTGATCATTTCTTTTATAGCTTGGTGCACAGAAATGTCCTTTATTACATTGAAACTACTTTGTCACGGCACAGAGTGTGCTAAAATCATAAATTCACTGTTAAATAGGATGTTACAGGAGGTTTCAACATTTTTGGATCAGGAATCACCACACACACCCGTTACTCTGTGATAGCCAGTGAAGGGACAGACTGATGTCCGAGTGTGTTTGTTCGTGTAAGTGATACCCTGTTTTCTAATGTGAGGTGATCCTTATGCTCCTCAGAACCCACCCGTGGGTGATGCTTCTGTGTGGTGTACATCGTAGATGCGCACGACCCCTCCGCATTTGGAAAGTGCACCCAAGGGAGCACAATGTGCTCCCCACGTTGCAAGTGCCATCCTTTCCTGGCCATGTTGGTCCAGGGGATCCACTATAATGATGTAATTAAAATTCAAGTGCACTTCTCTTATAGAACTAGTAGTTTTTTTTTTTTCCTGCACTTAAATTTGCACTGTGTTTAGGAATTCCTGTCATACCTCATGCTAATTGCACGCTTTTGCCATTTAAAAACCAATTTTAAGGTTAATGGGAGGGAAGGCATGTAACGTGCTGAGCGTGCTCAGTAATCTGTCTTGTTTGCTTAAGAGAAGGGAGCGGCCACACAGAAAGGAAGAGGCACTGAGGGTAGGCAGCCAGGGAGCAGAAAGGTTAAAGCCCCTCTCAGAATCTGTAAAATGGTGTAGCAACGTGACGCTGTCCTGCGTGAGTTTGGCTGGCTCTCCTCCCTGTCTCCCTCTCCTCCTTCCTTCCATCCGACTCTCCTTCCTCTCCCTTCCCCTTCAGATTGCCTTTCAGATCCCACAACCCTCTGTGCCTCAGCTCTTGGGCAGGGTCTGAGGCAGCGTGTCCCCGATTGAGATCACTCCCAAGAGCAGGAAGTTAACACAAAAGTCTGATTAAAAAGAAACATCCTTCCACAGAACAGAAGAGTTGGGTCTGGGTTCGAAATGCAGATCAGTGTTTTCAGTGGAGAAGCTCTGGGCAGGACTTCAGCGTCTTGGTTCCTTTGGAGAGATGTCGGAAGCGATGTACTCTGGACATTCACAAAGCCCCGTGGCAGCTGTTCCTTTGGGGTCAGGGAATTGTGGTGTGAGGTCATTTTCACTGACAACAAGTAAGTGAAATAATGAGAGGTGGCGTTCTATCTGCCTTCTCCTCCTGTCTTATAAAAGCTTTTTGGAGGGGCGCCTGGGTGGCTCAGCTGGTGGAGCATCTGACTGTTTCAGGAAAATGTTCACAGATAAAACACTGAGAAGTCTCCATTGTCCCCTTCCTTTACCCAAAGACACAGATTTCCTTTTCTTTTTTTTTTTTTTTAAGATAATTCCTTAAATCAGATCCATAGTAGGACTTTGTTCCCTCCTTATGAGCAGCAGACACCTTTTCTTGTCCTTACCTTGTACCCCTCACATTCCCCTGTGCTCTAGCCAATGAGGCGCCGAAAATACACGATCATGAAGGAAGGGAGGCTGGGTCTCCACAGAAGCTTGAGGCCTCTCGGGATGTGTAGAATTTCTCTTTCAGGTGCTCCAGGAATTTCAAAAAGTGGCTAAGTCACCCTTTGGATAGAAGAGTAGGCACTCAATATTTCTTATCTCTCTCTCTCTCTTTTTTTAAGATTTTATATATTTATTTATTTGAAAGGGAGAGAGAAAGCATGAGCAAGGGTGGGGGGAGGGGGGTGGTGAGGATCAGAAGGAGAGGGACAAACAGACTCTGTGCTGAGTGCAGGTCCTGACATGGGGCTCGATCCCACAACCCAGAGATCATGACCTGAGTGGAAATCAGGAGTCAAATGCTCACCTGACTGAGTCACCCAGATGCCCCAACTGTTTTTCTTTTCTTTTTTTTCATGGATTTGTAATTCCTTAGTCATCCTTCTCTTGAGGGTATTTAAAATGTTTTCTACTTGCTGTTTCAATTATTCCAGCAGTGTCATGGCAAAGAAAATAGGAAATGGTAAATATTAGTCCTGTCTTATGAATGAGTAAATTGGGGCTCAGATGGGCAAAAAAATATGGCTGTGGGTGAGTCTGTGGAAGTTGGGCCTGGACCTTAGGTCTCTAGTTCTCAGGCCGGCCAGCTTATGTCCCAGCATCCACTTAAAAAATAAAAACAAGCACATTTCAATGAAAATTTTTAAGTGAGACTTTAAACAGGAATTTTCAGAATGATAAGCTCAGGCATGAAGTCTAGGAGGAGGCCAAGCTAGCAGGACAGAGGCAGTTGCCGCTGAAGATGTGGACACCATGATTCTCTCTCTTTCTTGTTTCTCTGTGTATGAGCCGGTGTATTTCACACTTTGAGAAAAATAGGAAAGCATGCCCTTGTTTGCCATTTTGAAGCTTCTGTCCTGGTTCCTCTTGATGGGTCCGCCAATGGTAGTGTTGAGGAGATCACGTCTGTAAGATACAGATGTGAACACACAACACTGTGAGACATTCATAAAACCTTATACAAATCATCTTACATATGTACAGGTATATGTACATTTACATGTATGTATGTGTAGGACAGGCTTCTTTTATTCATTTTTTCCCCAGACTTGTCTCATGTTTACTGAATATTTTTCTTAATGTCATGACGTGACCTGGAGCTTTAACAAATCAGTCTGGGTAATGCAACCTGGATGCATACTTGTTTGCCCACAGACTGTCGGTTATTACACACTCTCCGGCTTGGCCTCCGTGGAAACCCAGTTGTTCTCAAAGCCTGTCCAAACAGAGAGCAAGCCCATCACATCTGCTTACTTTTAGTGTGAACTTCAGACTTCAAATGCACGCCCGTCTGCAACACACATATTTTTCCCCACACGCACGCAAAGAAGCAATGGCCTTTAAGGACTGTGTGTGGTTCCTAACTGGCTTATGCTGAAGCCAGCCCTTGAAGTCAGTCGTTAGCTTCCAGGCAGACCAGCTGGGGGGCTTGAAGCATGACAGGTAAAGAATGGATAGGGGATGCTCTCAGGGAGAGGCCCAGGTCCTGGTGCCATGTGGCTGCCAACACGCGCACATCGCAATCTACGTATACTTCCACATATACGTGTCTCCTGTCTAAGCTCTGTTTTCCTCTAGCTCTTTAGAGCTTGTAATGTCCTAACATTTTGGGGGCGTAGAGATGGACAGAAACTTATTCTAAATAAGGAAGACATAATCTTATTTCTAGCAGCATCAGCCAAATGAACAGAGAGGTACTCTGTTCTAT